TTCTCTTATTCAGTCAGACGTGTTCACACAGCACAAAATAACAAAATCACCAATAAGATGTCCTGTTTTATTGTCTTTCCAGGTTGGTGGTGGTTTGTTGCAGTTGCAGCTCTCTTAATAACTGTTGTTATTGTTGTTGCTCTCATCAGATGGAAGAAAACTAAAGGTGAGAGCAACCACAGATATTATAAACAAGAAGTTTTGATGAACCTGGATTTTTATTGTTGAAAAGTCGACTCTCTTTTGTCTCTTCAGGAAAAAAACCCCAGATGGATGAAAACACTGTGAGTTTTACGGCTGAGTAATCAAATGTTTCTACAGTTATGACAGAGCTGAATCAGCTGCTCTCTGACAGAGTCATCCAAATCTAAACAGCCTTCACAGAGCCAGTGTTTGACCACATGGAAGTAGACTCTGTTTGTTTGTTGTTTTCAGGGACGGAGCTTAAACCCTGCAGTGAGTCCAGAAAGCAGTCAGGACACGGTGAGATCTCACACTACACCCAGGACAAAGTACACTCACTGTTTTTAGATTTGTTGTTCAAAATGTAGCTCTATGAGACACACAGTGACTCTTGAATCTAAGTTCTTTCTGCAAGAGAAGAAGTGGGGAGTCTGATGATGCAGCTGGACGACACCAGAACAGACCAGAACACAATCAAGTCCACATGTTACTGAGCAGCCATTATGTTGTCTTCTCTGTGTAGGCTGATCCTGAAGATGGTGTTTCCTACGCCTCCATCAGCTACACCAGGAAGACCAACAGTAAAGGCCGGGTAAGCTGTCTGATTGGTTCTAGTGATGATGGCAGTGAATGAAAACACTTCTCTCATTTAATGTTGTGTAATTTCTGTGTTGTGCTGTTTGTCTCTTTTCCAGGTTCTGGGTAAAGATGGTGATGATGAAGATGATGCAGTGACCTACAGCAGCGTGAAAGCTTCCTCTTCTTCTGCTGGAGCCTCAGCTGATCCCAGCGACCTCTACGCCACCGTCAACTAACCAAACAAATAAGAGACCACAGTGTAGTTACAGCTCATATCATTACAGGTAATTTACACTGAGAACTGATAAATGTTTTATTATTTGAATTATTTTATGATAATATATGGGACATTTAGCTTGATGAACTTGCTGTCAGGCACTTTAATGTGCTAGTGCTGTGTTGTAGTTAAACATGTATTAGTTTTTACTGTTATTTCTGTATCAGCTGTTATTGTTTGAATGCAGTCATTTTAACATCTATATTTCTGTAGAGGTTTAACACCTCCAGAGCTCTTTGCACCTTCTTCTTCTTCGTCTTCCTTTCATGTGGTGAAACGGGTCATTGTCACAAATACAAAGTGTGAACTTGAGGCTCAGTGTGAATCTAAATATAGTTTATTCTAACTGTCATGTTTCAGAGGAAACTGGCAGTGGTGAAGCCGTTCCTACGAGTCAGAGACAGGAAATATAAAGACCAAGTTCAGTTTTACTTGATCCAGGCAGGCAGAGTCAGAACAGCAGGTAATAATGCTGCATTTGACACATGAAGTTGGATTTTCCCAGTTTCCAGTCGTAAATTCCAACTTGAACGCCCCCTTAAGGAGACAGAGTGTTACACACTTCTCTGCGCTTCCATTTCAGCTTTTACCAAAACTTCATAGTGACGGCGTCTGCCCCCCCGACCATTTAAATTAATTAAATCAAAGATAAACTGAAGAGGAGCTGTGCATAAAACCCTAATAAAAATTAAACCCACTGCTGTAATAGTATAAAAGAAATTAAAGGTGTAAATGTATAAAAATATAACAGAATATGATGCAGTATTAGCTGCAATTTTTGGACAATGCACGTTTGTTTTTTCTATATTTAAATTGCAAATAAACGTTTCTCAAAGCATTTTTATTTGTTAGTTCACATTTCTTGGTGCAAGCTATTTTTCAGAACATTATTAACAAATGCTCTCAAAAAGTGATGTGGACAAAATCAGCCATTTCAAAATGTGGTGGGGACACATGTCCCCAGTGTAAATGACATGTTGATTCCACATTCAGACTTAAGAGCACATGAACACAGAAAAACTCAGAAGAATGACTTCACAACTCGGGAAATGGGACGATCTGAGTTTTAGTTACCCACTAGATGAAACTAAAACTTAAGTGTTTTTATCTGCTTTAAAACACGTCTGGTTGTTAGACCGGTTCAGAAGCAGCTCTGCATGACGACTGTTGGAGCCTTTAGATCTTTTTCACAGCAGACGTGTTTAATTGTCAGGACTCTGAAACTGAAGCAGCTAAATGGAATCCAGCCATCATTAATTGTTCAATTTAAATCTGTTTTCCTGCTGTGCTGTGTCAAAATGTCTTGTATGAAAACAACAGATGTGTGTGTTTTGGTCAGGTTAGTATTGAATCTGGATATTTTCCCCTTCAGGCCAGTAGGGGCTGATTAATGTTATTGTGCAGGTCCTGACTGGGACATAATATAATGCTCCTGAACACTGAGTTGTTTTAGATCGAGGGAAGTTTCATCAACTGCAACAAGTCAAACTTTAAGTTCTCTGCATCTCACACTGTGAAATCATCTGTGTTTGTTTACTGAAGCCATCAGTTAGCAGCAAGCCAGTAGGACTGTCAACAAATCCCACGAAAAGTACTATTAAAACCAGTCAGTGACCTTCACTGCTGCACTGGGTGACACGTTCTGAAGAAAACAACATTTATCTTAACCAACAATCTTCACACGTCAACTTCCTCTTCTTCTTCTTTTAAGGAGATGAAACTCGTCATTGTCACAAACACACCGACAAGAATTTGGGGTCTCCGTCAGTCACTGTGGGTGAGAGATGTTACGACCCCTCCCCCTTCCTGCTTCCTTCTCCTGCAGGAGGCTGCAGGCAGGGAGGCTGATTGGGCAATCACCTGTGCAGCTCTCTTCAGAGCTTATTTAGCCAGGACTGATCAGTCTTTTGTTCTCTCTCCTCCTAAGTCAGCGTCTGACTGGGTTTGTTTTGTGTCTTTTTGGTTTATCCTGACCACACACACACACACACACACTCATCCATTCACTGCTGACACAACTGATATTCATACTTTTCCACACAACATATTTTTGGTGATCATTTGACCCTTCTTTTACTTTTATTATAAATCCTACCATTTGCGTGCAAACCTGTTGTGTCTCACCTCCTTTTTGTCACGGGCTAAGAGCTGGCTTGTGACAAGTGGGGGCTCGTCTGGAACTTGTTGTTATTTGGTGTTGATCGGCTTGTTTTGTGTAGCATCCAGCTATTTTGGTATTTGTTTACCAGTCTGTGAGGTAAATGTCAGGTTTGGTTAGGTCAGTTAAAGCTCCGTAGGAGAGAGGTTCATGGTCCTTTTGTCAGTGGTTTAGCTCTGCTGGCTGAATTTGTTTTGTTGGACCTTAGCTGGGTTTTCTAGTGTGAGCAGGAGAACTTTCCCCTGTTAGGCTTAACAGCGATTTCCCTTCGTGGTGTGGTGGTTTAGGTGGCGGTGAACGTGGGTAGAGCTTTGCTCGGGAGCACCTCCGCGGCTGTGACGGGGTCACTGGCTTTCTGGTTGCCCTTTTTCACCCCACTGGTTTCGAGTGCATAAGTACCCTCCACAATTAGCTGCACGAAGACTAGGGGGGAGTTGGCTAGATAGTCATTGTTGAAGTTAGCATGGGTATAGGGGGAGTCTTCTGCTCAGGTAGCCCAGGGTTTTATCTGTAATGGAGGGCGTAGTGCATCATTTAAAACTGACACCTGCCGATATTGTCGTGCCAACGGTCATTGGAAGAATGATGCCCCGTGTTGAAAGTAGACAGGCTGTTTCTTCAACCATACAATTTAGACATACGCCATTTTAATGCCATGTGTTTCTTTTCCTATTCCTCTACTCTCTTTGTTTGTTTCCCTGTTCTTCCTCTTAAAGTGCTTGTTTCATTTATTTAATTTATATTTTATATATTATTTTTTTACACACACACACACACACACACACACACACACACACACACACACACACACACACACACACACACACACACACACACACAAGCTTACCGTTTTATTTATTTATTTTATTAAAATTTTTAATTCTTCATTTTTTTTAACACACATACGCTTTGATTGCTTTACGCTTTAATTACTTGTTTAATGAAATGTATGGGGTTGATTGTTCTTATGTTGTATGTATGATGCTTTGGCAATATTGTTGTTACACATTCATGCCAATAAAGCTAATTTGAATTGAATTTGAATTGAATGCAGCTTGATTAGTAAAGTATGGCACATGGGTAATGTGTTGATAAATTATGGATCAGCTTGATTATATTGTAACATGAATGGTTATGAGTGTATATTGTACTGCTAACTGCTCTATGCCAAATTCAAGGTTCTTAGAAGAACCTTGTTCTTAAGGGGGGGATGTTACGACCCCTTCCTTCTCCTGCAGGAGGCTGCAGGCAGGGAGGCTGATTGGGCTGCACCTGTGCAGCTCTCTTCAGAGCTTATTTAGCCAGGACTGATCAGTGTTTTGTCTTCCAACCAACGATACTTCAACAAAACTACAAGGTAGTAACTCATCTTTCTCTGGAGTCTCTCTGTCTTCCTGTCAGCCTCTTTCTCTCCACATAATAAACATATGAATCTAACTTTTAAGTGTTTCATTTAGTTCTTGTTGATTTTTTTCTGTTCTACAGCTCGTGCAGATTGTTCTGCTCTGGACTACATAATGTTGGTTATGCGTGTGGCTGAACTCCTCCTAATTACTGTGATTACTGTTCTTCTCATCAGAGCTCGAGGTGAGAACATTCAGACCAACATTTGTTCACACTGATTAACATAACCTGTAAGTTTAGAGCTGAAATATTTCTCTGTGATTTATTTACCTGGTAACCAGAGACTACCTGACAACAACACAGTGACCTACAGCAGCGTGAAAGCTTCCTCTTCTTCTGCTGGAGCCTCAGCTGATCCCAGCGACCTCTACGCCACCGTCAACAAACCAAACAAATAAGAGACCACAGTGTAGTTACAGCTCATATCATTACAGGTAATTTACACTGAGAACTGATAAATGTTTTATTATTTGAATTATTTTATGATAATATATGGGACATTTAGCTTGATGAACTTGCTGTCAGGCACTTTAATGTGCTAGTGCTGTGTTGTAGTTAAACATGTATTAGTTTTTACTGTTATTTCTGTATCAGCTTTATTGTTTGAAATGCAGTCATTTTAACACCTATATTTCTGTAGAGGTTTAACACCTCCAGAGCTCTTCGCACCTTCTTCTTCTTCGTCTTCCTTTCATGTGGTGAAACGGGTCATTGACACAAATAAAAAGTGTGAACTTGAGGCTCAGTGTGAATCTAAATATAGTTTATTCTAACTGTCATGTTTCAGAGGAAACTGGCAGTGGTGAAGCCGTTCCTACGAGTCAGAGACAGGAAATATAAAGACCAAGTTCAGTTTTACTTGATCCAGGCAGGCAGAGTCAGAACAGCAGGTAATAATGCTGCATTTGACACATGAAGTTGGATTTTCCCAGTTTCCAGTCGTAAATTCCAACTTGAACGCCCCCTTAAGGAGACAGAGTGTTACACACTTCTCTGCGCTTCCATTTCAGCTTTTACCAAAACTTCATAGTGACGGCGTCTGCCCCCCCGACCATTTAAATTAATTAAATCAAAGATAAACTGAAGAGGAGCTGTGCATAAAACTGTAATAAAAGTTAAAACCACTGCTGTAATAGTATAAAAGAAATTAAAGGTGTAAATGTATAAAAAATAACAGAATATGATGCAGTATTTAGCTGCAATTTTTGGACAATGCACGTTTGTTTTTTCTATATTTAAATTGCAAATAAACGTTTCTCAAAGCATTTTTATTTGTTAGTTCACATTTCTTGGTGCAAGCTATTTTTCAGAACAACATCAGCCATTTCAAAATGTGGTGGGGACACATGTCTCCAGTGTAAATGAGATTTGTTGATTCCACATTCAGACTTAAGAGCACATGAACACACCTGAAGTCAGAAGAATGACCATCTGAGTTTTAGTTACCCACTAGATGTAACTAAAACTTAAACACTGAACTGTATCACTTTCTATGAAGGTCATCGCTATAATGACTTATGCATATATTTATAACACGATATAATGCATCCATAAGACATTATAATAGTTGTTATAATCACTTACAAACATGCATTAGGCGCTATAGCAAAGTTCATAATGTATTATGACCTTCTGATTTAATGTTTTATAACTAATAGTAACAGCAGTTTAACAATCTCCGACCATGTTCCATAACACATTATAACCACCGACTCTGCCTCCTTATGAATACACTTTAGTCACCATTTAGACTTAGTGATATAAAATGGAATAATAACTTATAGTAATGTTTAATGTTATATAGCGTGTCTTTGTTTGCTTTAAGTGTTAAAATATCTATCCCTGTATAATATATTACAGGTGGACATGATACCATATGAACTAATTATAAGAACTTATAACACATAATTGTTTGCTTTAAGTAAAGTGACACATTTAGCTCAGGAAAACAACTTTATACAGTGAAGAATGACACCTGACTGATTAAAGGAACAATCTGATGATTGCTATATTTTTATTATTTTCAACAAATCCCACGAAAAGTACTATTAAAACCAGTCAGTGACCTTCACTGCTGCACTGGGTGACACGTTCTGAAGAAAACAACATTTATCTTAACCAACAATCTTCACACGTCAACTTCCTCTTCTTCTTCTTTTAAGGAGATGAAACTCGTCATTGTCACAAATACACCGGACTGAACAAACTGTGAACTTGAGCCTTAATATAGTTTGTTTGTGTCAGTGTTAGTTTGGCTCAGTGCAGAAACATATTCCTTTGTCTCGTGATCAGTGACTTTGTCGTATGTGTTTGTAGATGGTGGATCTTTGTCAGGCTGCTGTGACCTCTGACCTCTGACATCTTTACTGTTGGCTGCATCTCTTATTGCTGATCAAGAATTTGGGGAAGAATTTGATTCATAGGGAGAAAGAGAACTAATGAAAGCAGTTGATGATACTCAGTTAAATTTGGCTATGAGTTTAAGGACTAAAGATAATGGATCAGCAGACTATTGGACATCACTGATCACAGAATGCCTTGGTTTGCCTTACTGTGTGTCGCTGGCCTGTCTTGGCCTGTTGCACGGGTCCCCACGCTAGCTGCCCGATTCCTGGCTCTCTGCTAGGGAATTTTCCGGAGGTTCTCCGTGTCTGAATGAAGAAAAACAGTCCAGTGTTGACCGTCCTCGGCCTGGCAGTTAAGCTGTTCTGGTTTGGATGTCCTTTGGGTTACTGCTGGCAAGGCGGGCCCACGTGGCTGGGTCCGGGCTTCGGTGGGAGCAGTGTAAGGTAGCTCGACGGAATAACTTAAAAGAACTTGGTCGTTCTTTAATTAAAATTGTGTAACTTAACGGTCTGATAACTTTTAACAAACAAAAGAAATAAAAAAAGTTAGTAAGTTGCTGGAAACGAGGGAAAAGCCGAGGTCGCGGCGCTTCGCGTGTGTGGCTTGAAACGAACAAACAGCTTTCGCGGCAAGCCGAGCCGAATTTCTTTGGGCGTTGCTGGGAGACGGGGCACGCTGTGCGCATGCCGAAGTGCACAGGAAGAGCGAAGAGGCCAAGAGAGCGTCGCTGCTTTTGTTTGTTGGGGCGTGGTTCCCAGAGGGGCAGTCCTTTGTTCCCCTGAGGGCTCGTTTCCGGTTTCCTGAGAGTCTTTTAATATGTCTATTCTAAAATCTATTTGCGCGTATTGTAATCAAATATCTTCCCACAATCAGACCTTAATTGTCAAACGGGTATACTGTTCTTAGTTTTAAGCATTTGATAAAAAGGAAAACAATTGTCAGTAGTTAAACCTTAAGGTTAGCATTTCCTAGGAATCACATCAGATGAGAGGAACTTAACATATCATTTCTAAAGGAAGTGTCAGAAAGTGTCGGGAACAAAGCATTGGTTACAACATAAAATGAAGAAATGTCAGGGATCCTTGCTGAAAATTAACTTATTTAGATTCTTTTCAACAACAACATGTCTTCCTCTACTCTCTTTGTTTGTTTCCCTGTTCTTCCTCTTAAAGTGCTTGTCTGGTACTGAGGTTGCAGAACTGGTGTGATGGGAGAATGAAAAACACACAGACGTTACTGTTTCATTTATTTATTTTATTTTTAATATTTTTTTATTTTTTAACACACACACACGCTTACCGTTTTATTTATTTATTTTATTTTAATTTAATTTTATATATATATATATACATTTTTTTAAACACACACGCTTACTGTTTTATTAATTTATTTTTATAAATATTTCTCTGTGATTTATTTACCTGGTAACCAGAGACTACCTGACAACAACACAGTGACCTACAGCAGCGTGAAAGCTTCCTCTTCTTCTGCTGGAGCCTCAGCTGATCCCAGCGACCTCTACGCCACCGTCAACAAACCAAACAAATAAGAGACCACAGTGTAGTTACAGCTCATATCATTACAGGTAATTTACACTGAGAACTGATAAATGTTTTATTATTTGAATTATTTTATGATAATATATGGGACATTTAGCTTGATGAACTTGCTGTCAGGCACTTTAATGTGCTAGTGCTGTGTTGTAGTTAAACATGTATTAGTTTTTACTGTTATTTCTGTATCAGCTGTTATTGTTTGATATGCAGTCATTTTAACATCTATATTTCTGTAGAGGTTTAACACCTCCAGAGCTCTTCACACCTTCTTCTTCTTTGTCTTCCTTTCATGTGGTGAAACGGGTCATTGACACAAATACAGTGTGAACTTTTTGTGACAATGCTAAATGGTAAGTAAAGGCTGTTAAATGCTTCCTTTCTTAGCTCCTTTAGCAAAGGCTACACTGGACAGTTCTTTATGAAAGGAAAGGAGATAATGCTTTCCCACAATTCCTTGCAACAGCAGCCTTTAGAGCGACTCACCATTAGTTTCACCACGATAGACACCCATAAATGTACAGGAGCATCTAAAAAAATTACAATATCTTAAAAAGTTTATTTGAACTGAACCAGACTGAGAGATTAAAGGATCAGGAAACATTTGCAGGTGTTTTGAATTGATTCTCAGGTCAATTTTTATATATTATATTATAACTTTAATTATAATTATGAATTTAAAAAACTGAGATGCACCTGTAGAAACAACAGAGCATCTATTTAACAAATGTATAAAAATATCAAAAGCACCCATCCCAGGAAACTCTATATTTATGTTTGAGTATAATTCACTCAACTTTCTCTACTTGTATATTGATTTTGTTATTATATTGTGTCAGCATTTTAATCCTTTTTGTTTTTTCAGCAGTATCTATGTTGTTGTTACTTCCTATGAGCAGCCTAACTGATGGTTAAATGTACCAAATGAAACATCCTTTCTTAGGAGGTGTGATTCTGTGTTGGACAGGAAACCTTTTGAAGTGAGCAGCATTGAGTTTGTCACTGTACTCATCTTCCGCGTGTTATAAATAAAGTTGGTTAAAAAGAAGCTGGTGTAAGTGCAGCCTGGTTCTCTGAGCACCGCGGTTGTCTTTTATGAATTCTCCTTCACATCTTTCCTTGACCTCATGACGTTTTCCATCAAAGTCAAGGAAAAGTGTTTAGGAAAGGACAGAGGATGGATTTTTTTTACCATTACAATGTTTGTATTTAATGTTTCATGGTTTTATGTTACGTTGTGAGGACAAACATGACCACAGTTTCCAGGTTCAGTTCGTCCACAGACACATTTTAAATCTCCAAACATGCTGAAACAAGAGCAGCCTGAAGATTATTGAAATAATTATTGACTTTCTCCCGTTCTGTGTGTCTGTAATTATAATTGTCAGGACCAATTAGAGTTTGAGACCTTGGGAGTGAGGACGTTTTGTCTGGTCCTCACTTTGGGACAGACCTTTAAAAGAGTGTTTTAGGGTGAAGATTAAATAAAGTTTAATTTCAATGAAGGTTTGGGTCATTTAGTTGTGATGGTTAAGAGTTAGGGACAAAGCTATACTGTGAGAGACAGAGAGAGCTCTCTGCTGGCTGTTGACTCCAGAGCGCCATCGTGAGGTCAGTCTGTGTTTCTGTTTCTTTTGTTTTTAATTCAAAGAAATCTCAACATCTACTGAACAGACTGATATTTTTGCACATGAATTTAAATACTTCCAGTAGTGGAGTGTAACTAAGTACATTTACAAGTTCATACAAAGATGATCTAGTTAGTAATCCATTATGCTTCCTCATCTCTGTTGGGTCTGTGGTCACTTTTCCATCAGGGAGGCGGAGACACACCAGTTGTTTTTTCAAAACTGACTTCCCTAAATTAAAGAAGGTGGATTGTGCATCTCAGAAATTTGAATATGAGGAAAAAGTTATTTTTATTTACATAATTTAAGTCAAAGTGAAACTTTCTAGCTTCATTAGACAAAGTGAAATATTTCAGGCCTTTTGTTGTTTTAATCTTGATCATTATGGCTTACAGCTCATGGAAATTAAAAATCCAGCCTTCACTCTCAGACACCTTATTGATTAGTAAGTGGGGTTTTGCAGCGCTGTGCTTTTGGTTGGATGTATTTTACAAGAACGACGTGAAGAGAGCATGCACAGTTGTTTATATTGCTGTGTGTACCTGTAGAAGTAATCTTACTTAAATTAAGTAAATTACTTCTACCCACAGAAATATAAACAATAGTGCTCTGTTCACTTCATTCTTACAGTTTGAGGTTTCACAGGCCTCAAGAGGTCTGCTCTTATTTTTGTAATTTGACTAAAAACTATTTAAAAACAAAGTTTAGGCCAGTTTGAAGAAGAGTCTGCTACTATTA